CGGCACATAACAACAACAACACTGCCTCGGAAACCCAAGGAGGGGTCGCTATGAGTCGGGGCCGACTCCGACGGCAAACAACAACAACAACTTGTGTGATTAACACCTTGTCAGTTGGTCAAGTCACCGCCAGGGAACACCACTGCTCGTCCGAACTGCCTGGGGCTGCTTGGCCGGATCCCTGGCTCCTGAAGAGTCTTCTCACCGGTCGGGTGAGGCCAGGGAAAAGGGGGGCTTCTTCCTCTCAGATAACAAGGGGACCCCACCCTGCAGCGAGGCCAGGCGTGACCCCAGTGATCCTACATGGGGAGAAGATGCTGCCGCCTTCCTCTGGGCCCAGACCCTGCGCTTGCTTCCGCAGTCGGCTTAGAGCAGAGGGCGGGGCCGACTTTGCTCCATCCATGCCTGCGGTGGACTGCTCTCGGTCCTCGTGAGGGGACATGGGGTCTGAGAGGGACGGCAGCACTGACCGTCTGCGCCCGGCACACTGATGGCTGCTTTCTTTGCATCGTTAAAAACAGGCCCTCAAGTGCCCGCTGGGGAGGCGCGACCAGCACAAGCCTGCAGCCCAGGCTCCCTGCGAGGAGGGGTGGGCTGTGTGCAGCGAAGGGGTGCTGGCCCTTCGGCCTGGCCCTTCCCCCACCCGCACCCCTCCCACCCAGAGGGAGGCCTTGTGGCCCTTTGAAGGGCCCTATCAGATGAGATTAGGGAGGCCGCTGAGCTGCTGATAAAGGGGCGCCTGTTGGCAATGAGCTCATCCCTCCGTTTGTCTCAAGGCCGAGCGGATAAAGGCCGGCAGCAGCAGGACTGGGCGGCCGAGGGTGGGGCCGCTGGGCGGGCCCCAGGGCCTGGCTGGGGGGCGGGGTCTCAGACTTCCCGCCTCGAAGGACCGAGCCCCCGGCTTCAGAGGGGCGGGGCCTGCCCTGGGTCTCAGCCAATGAGTCAGGTGTAGGTTCTGGGCACAAGCCCTCCCCACCCTGAGCAGGGCCCTCCACGGAGCTCAGAGAGGCCACAGCGCCGGCCAGGGCTCACCGGCCGGGAGGCCTGAGCAGAGGGAACTCCTGGGAGCACTGCACCTTTCTCGAGATAGTCACCCAGACCCTCCCCCAGACGCCCCCAGAGACATTCAAGCCCCCATTCAAGCCAGCTCCTTAGACTCCGGGGTGGTCCAGGACCGACCCAAGTACGCGCCACCCCCAGCCTGCGACCTGGTCCTCAGATCCTCAGAACTGGCGGGCCGGGAGCTGTCGCATCCCCTTGGAGTTTATGATCCTGCCCAGCCGGCAGTCGCGATGCCCAGGGAGGAGCAACAGGAGCGAGCCCAGGATGCGTGAAGGCATTACCACGTGGAGGAGGTTTAAATAAAATCAACTTTATTGACACTTGCGATAAATCGCACACATGCACAGTTAGAAAACCACGACAAAGGTGTTGAAAAGGGGCGCTTTTCCGGGCGCTGCCTGCCTGTCCCTCGGTCCTGTGCAGGCCACGTCGCCCCGGCGCTGCCGTGAGAAGGGGGTCGCACACACGCGCAGGTTCGTGTCCTGGAAAGAGAACTTGCGGAGAGTCACCGGTCCCTCCAACCGCCCCGCTGCCCGCTGCCCGTTCCTCTCCACCCCCGGACTTTGCCCGTCTCGCCCCCGGAGAGTCTGGGACCCAAGCTCCGGGCACAACTCGGGCGGGTCAGTCGGTTCCTGTCCCAGCTGCTTATGTCGCCCACCAGCCCCTCCCGGTTGAGTCCATTCCAGACCGGCGCGGGCCCCTCTGCAGCCCACCGGAAGGTCAGCATCGTCCCCATGCACCCCTCTTGTCCTCCAATGTCCATTCCGTCGCAGAGGGGCCCCGCGGAGCCGGCAGGGTGCTGGACCGGGCGCTGGAGCGGCTCGGCGGGGCTCGGTGGGGACCCGCCGCCCCTTTGTCCCATGCCCTATACCTCTTTAGGCCAGACCCTCAAAGAAGTATATGCATAGGAGGAAGGGGTGACAGCGATTCGGCCGGAAGTCGGGAGCCGTGGACGGAGGGGCCTGGGGCCTGGGGCTTGAGGAGCGGCGGGAGGCGCCGGGCCAGGCCGCCGGGCGCCGACGCAGGTGCAGCAGGTCCTCCGGGCCGTGGAGCCTCTGGCAGGCGCCGGGCGGAGCGCTCCGTGCCGCCGCGCTCTGCCTGCTGCCGGCCGGCACGAGCCCCATTTATGCGCCGCGGAGACCTTGGCGGCCCCGCACGCGGCAGCAGTCACACGCGGTCATCGGCTGCCCCGTGCCAAGGGCCCCGTCCCGCCCCCGCGCCCGCGAGATTGGGGCACAAAGCCCGCTCAGATGAGCCGGGCCGGGCGGGGCGGAACAGGGGTGCCCGGGACCCTGGCCAGGCGGGCTGGCCCGCTGCCTTCTCACACTTATCTCCCCAGGCTCCTCTGCTTGCGTCAGGGGCCTGGAACACGCAGCAGGGAGAAGTTTCTGTCCTGAGGGGGGGCTCTCTGCCCCCGAGGTCGGTGACAGCAGCGCCTGGGCACCCACGGCAGCTCCTGCTCTCCACCCGAGCCTCCTGCCCAGCCCTGCCAGGAGCCCAGGGCGGGCGTCTTCTGCACCCCAAGCACTGGGCGCTAGGCCCCGCACTGCTGGGGAGAGGCAGTGCTCTGAGCCCTGGCCCCCAGCCCCAGGGCAGTGCCTGCACAGGTGTCCACAGGGTCCCGTGGGTCACTGGTCCCCAGAGAGCCCTCCCTCCACCACAGACTTAGTGTGGTCAGCTCTGTCCCCAGAGCCACTAATGGGGGAAAAGGACAGGGATGGTCTTGGTGGGTGAGAGTGTAGGGCCTGGCCCAGGGAGAGGGCGCCGAGGGGCTGCAGACAAAGCCCAAGGGCCCTACGTGCAGAGACACCGACAGACAGACAGAACACACACACAGTTTGTGGCTTGTGGGTGTCTGTTGAGTGCCTGTGGGTGAGCATCCCCTACTCTGGCCACACGGAAGACTAAAGAGAGCCCCAGCCTCGGCTCCCCCACCAGGTGCCCCTGCTTCCCCTTCCCTAGAGAAGCACCCGGCCCGGCTTCTACCACCCCGACCCAGACACCACTTTCCTGGTGGCCTGTGCTAGTTAGAGGCTCATCACCCACTGGGACCAGGAATCAGGCCACTCGACTCCCCCATGGCCAGGCACTGCCCTCCTGTGCCCACGGGCTCTAGTGTGGGTCCTGTCTGTGTCTCCCAGTGGCCCCACCTGCATGTGGGGAGGGGGTGCAGGGGCCTCTCCAGATGTGTGTTCCAATCTCGTGTGGGGTAGGGCGGGGGAGGCACCTGGACAGGCAAGGGCAGGACCCGGGAGAGGGGTACTGGTGGACACAGGAGAGAGAGCAGGTGAGGCCTGACTGTCCCGAACTCTCGTGGCCCTGCCCTGGCAGCCACATGGATGGTGTAGAGCCTGGGGGGGGACATGCAGGGACCCTGACAGGTGTGCCCACACCTGCCAGATGCCCATTTGTCGGTAGGCCCCTCACCTTGGAAACCTCTCCTTGCTCAAACCCCAGCATTAGCCTCCCTGGCAGGTGATCAGCAACTGAGCAAAGAGATTAGTGGATGGATTCGGGCCATTTCAGGGGCTCCCTGGTGCTCTTGGGGTTGGGGTGCACCGGGGGGCTGCCCAGTCTGTCCTAGGGGCCTCAGGGCCCATATCACAGATGAGCAGAGAGCAGTGCGGCTTAGAGAGAGGCCCTGGAGGCAGGGTGGGCAGGAGGGGCCTGGCAGGGAGCCCAGCCCACACCTGTCCCCTCTCAAGGCCCTGAGATCCCAGGAGGGGTCCATGGGGGACGAAGTCCACAGGGGCACTTAGGTTGATTAAAGGCTGATTTTCCAAATTCCTGCACCTAGAGGGGACCCAGAACCAGAGGCTGGGAGCCGGCCCTCAAGGCCTCAGCAGAGCCCCTGGGGTACACAGCCACTGTACAGGGTGTGCCCCTGCCAGGGCCTGGGGAGCACCCATTGGCTCAGCACCCCCACTGCCTCTCTCCAGGGCATCAGGGCTTGGGGGGAGTCTGACCCTGCCCACCCAAGGGCTCTCATGACCCCTCAGACCACCCAGTACCACTTGGACAGTGGCCAGCCAGAGGCACCGTGGGCAGTGTGGGCCAGACCAGGAGGGCTGAGAGTGACAGGAGGCCATGACACCCTACACGGGCTCACGGTCAGGATGAAGGAGACGGGAAGTAAGTGGGCCCAGTTCACAGAAGAGCTCTGTCCCACTCTGTGCCCCCCAGACTGAGGGTCAGCTCCTTCACCCATCTACCCTGGGCCCAGCACTACAGAAACCTTCACTTGGGGTCCTGCCACCCATCCCTCAGCCAGTCCTTGCCCCAAGCCTCCATCTTCATTGAACACCCCTTTGTTAAAGCCGTCTCATCCTGGCTATCTCAGTTCCCAAGGGCTGACCTTGGGCCCCTCAGCCTGCCTCTGTGCGGAGGGGTGGGAAAGGAATAGAGACAGACAGGGAGAGGCCTGGCTTGTTCTAAAGCACCATGTGGTTTTCATAGATGTCCTTGTTCCTGGTTATAAAATCCACACTGCTAAAGACCAGGATGGCCATGCTGGGATGGACGGAGGGCTACGCCCCCGATGAAGGCCAGGCTCTGAAAGGAGAAGGGGGGTCCACGTGGTCCTGAAGCCCCTCCCCAGGCCGGAGCTTTGCTGCCCCAACGGCGAGGTATGCGAGGTCTCCATGCAGCGGCTCCGTGGCCTCACCCCCGAGACCACCTTTTTTGCCCGGGGAAATTTGAGGAGCCCCTCCTGAACCCCATGTGTGGTGGAAGCCCACACCCGCACACTGAAACAGGATGAGGGCAGCTGGAGATGGGACCACCGTGGTGCCAGCCCCAAGCCCCAGGGAGCAGGGGTGTCTGCTGGACTCTAGGCCACAGGAGCCTTCCTTGGGCTGCCCTGAGGAGTTTGTCCCAGGGAGAGGAGGCAGTGGGGGGCGGGGCTGGGGTGCATCCAGGAAGAGGCCCCAACCCCTGCCTGGCTGCTGTGACCTGTGAGAGGACCATAACCCCTGGGGTCTCAGCTTTTCCAGCTTGTCTAGGGAGTTAGCCTCACCTGATAGCAGAGGGAGGAGGAGGAGGAGGAAGACAGCGGCATGCAGCCCACCATGCCGGGCCAGGCAGGGGGTCTGTAGCTCCCCCACTGCTTTCCAGAGGCACAGGACCCCACTCCCTGTGCTCCTCAGATGAGAGGGCTGAACCCCACGTAGGGGGCCCAGTGCATAAGATACAGAGGTGGGCTCCGTGCTTGGGCCCGCCTGCATGAGGAGCCACGTGGGTGGGGGTCAGGTGATGGGCAGGCCCGATGGCCCATGGACCCCAGCCCTGCCCTGTGCCCGGCCCCCCCTCAAGGCAGAAAGTGCCCTTGCAGGCCCTGGAGGACACGCTCGGCACGGTGCCAGGGGCCGTGGTGATAAGGGTGGCCTTCAGGGCTGCTTGCTCCATTCCTGGGGGGCGGGGTGGTTGAGGCACGGGACCAGCTCAGGAAAGCAGCCCCCCGTTAACCCTTGGTGGCAGTTCCCAGAGGGCCACGGCCATGCTGTTTATGTGGGATGAGGAGGGCAGCGTCCCTGAGTTGTAGGGACCTCTGCCATTGTCAGCTGGTGGCTTGGGCTGGGCAGCCATGCTGACACCCCCTGACCCAGGAGAACACACTCACTGTCAGCTGTGCTGGGTGCTGCCCCAGCCTCAGTTTCCCCAGCTGTGAGAGGCTCGGGGAAGCCAGGTGTGCATCCTTCCCAAGGCCTACGTGCATGCCAAGCCAGAATGTGGACAGTGACTCTAGGAATTCAGGTGGTCTGTCCAGAGGAGGAAATAGAAAACCAGGTCTGTCTAGACCACAGGCCTTTGCAGCAGGAACAGAACTGCCCCTAACGTCAGCGTGGGTAAGTCATCCTAACATCACCTGAGCAAGTAGCCGACACGCATGTCCATTCACCCAGTGTCAGAATGCTGGCTCACCCGGGGATGGGATGCCTGCATTCTGAATGGGTGATGCTTACACATGGGCGAGTTTAGCAGAACCCCTCAGAGTGACCTGGGGCCAGTCCATTTCATAGTCTGGAAATCTTACCTTAATTAAAAATATGAAGTAACACTAGAGGGCTGCACAGTGGGGCATCTTCTAGGGGGTGGGGTGTTGCCTGAGACAGCGTAGCCCCTGACCCTGTGAGGGCATCTCACCGGCATGTGGGGAGCCACCTGTAAGATGCCGGCTGTCAGCTGGGTTCCAGCTTCAGCGTATTTCATGTGTGCTGTGAGTGTTTGGGTAACACTGCTTATGACCTGTTACACCCAGAGGTGCTCCTGGCTT